AGCGTCACAGTCACTAAGTTGGCAACACTGTGGGAGGAGCGCTTCATTTGCAACTCAGGGCAGCGCAAGCGGGAGGAGCAAATAATCGGCTTGTTTTGTTTTTTATAATCGTTCAAAACTCAGATCGTAATCGTGATTAAAATTAGATTAATTGAGCAGCCCTATCACTCACTCTGGTGAATCCAACAAGGAGTCTGCTCCGAGAGCCGTTTCTTTAGCAACTGACACATCACTACATCATTCCCTTTCCTAATGTCCTGAAGAACGGTCTGGAGCGCAGGCGGAGTGTTTAGCTAACCTGCAGGAAATGTCAACGACAGTTATCCAGAAAGTAGCTAAGGGTTACCAGAGATGTTTCTGAGGTGTTCGCTAGGTACTTTTAAGTTAAAAAGTGAAGAAGGGGGTCTGAAAAGCTTTTGGAAATAGCGTCAAAGTTGCCAAGTTGGCAACACTGTTAAGAGGAGCGCTTCATTTGCAACTCAGGGCAGCGCAAGTGGGAGGAGCAAATAATCGGCTTGTTTTGTTTGTATAATCGTTCAAAACGCAGATCGTAATTGTGATTAAAATTCGATTGAGCAGCCCTATGTCAATATTGTTTTTAGGGATGCACCGATGGATCGGCATTTGATCGTAATCGGCCGATAGCGCCCCTATCGGTTTTGATCGGAATTTTCAAAATAGATCAAAGCAAACCGATCAGGTAGGGTTGTCACGGTAACCAGTGTAGCGGTAAACCCCGGTAAAAAAAAAAAAAGTTGACAATAATAATAACCGTCTTGTTTTTTAAAAAACTATATTATCTTGGTGGGTTTACCGTGGCTGCGGTGTAGGCGCGGTGACCCTTACCAGCCACCGTGTCATCGGCTGAAGTTGCCGGCGGCACACGCACGCTTTGTTTACAACAAAACTTTCTTGAAGCTAAAGCTGAAATAATGGTCAAAGGAGGAGATGGCAGCGCTCAGGAGGAAATTTATTATCCCTCAAAGAAGACAAAGTCGGAAGTATGGGCATATTTTAGATATTTGAAGAATGCCGAGGGAGTTTATAGAAGACGGACGGCTATCCTGTTTGCAGCACGAGCAGAAAAAGTGTCTGTGAAAGGCAGCAACGCTTCAAATCTCATGACACATCTGCGTGACCATCACCCACAACTCTGCAGTCAACGCAAGGCAAGCTAACGTTAGTGTTTTAGCTAAAAATGCGTGATCCGAGGATTTGGGTTGAGGGAGAATGCAACGAGTCGCTATATAAAGCAGCTGCAGCGCCGCTACCTGCATATAAACCGTGTCGCGGACACCGCCATGTTGAAATGATGCTATGCATTACGGGGCTCCCAGGGGCAGATAAGAGTTGGTCTCTCTCCGAGAATAATTATGAATTTAACAATGATTACTGCCTGATGACATTTTCCCACATCTGCAAAGCTCACTGGAAGGACACAAACCGAGGACAATATTTTCCTGATATAGGGTTTATTACTCAAGTAAGGGTAAAAAAGTATCTGATTAGAAGGCTACTTGAGTACTGAGTATCATCTGATCTAATATTTTTAAATGATGACATCAAACAGACATAAAATAAGAAGTTATGGGCAAATATTGGTATTTTAAAGACTAAAGGGAAAAAACGTAAACAAATAAACAACATAATTACAAAATAACACATTTTAGGCAAAATTTAGACACAAACTGAGGACAATATTTCCTGACATACAGAGTTTATTTAATTGTGTGAAAATGTAGCACGTTTAAAAAAAATACCGCGATAATGCGAAAACCGTGGTAATTTTGGTCACAATAACCGTGAGGTTAAATTTTCACACCGTGACAACCCTAATACAGACCATTTTAGATTAGGTTACATTTCCTTTATTCCCAGATTATGTAGTTTGTAGCACTCATTATAATGTTGTAGAAAATTTCTGGCCAATCCACGTGATCGGTATCGGTGATCAGCATTCTTTGATATCGGTATCGTGATCGGCAGCAAAAAACCTGATCGGTGCATCCCTAATTGTTTTATTTGATGCACTCTACTTTGAACTGCACCAATCTAGCAACTGCTGCATTTTAATAACTAGTATTAAAGGTGAATACACCAGTAATTGCACAAAAATAATTTTTGTTTTAAACTCTCAGTGACACTTTGCAGGGGGGATTGGTATTTAATTTTTCTTGGCATCTGGAAAAACATCTCCTTCTGCCCCCTTTATTTTGGTCCAAGATCATTACTGGGCTGGCCCTATTAAAAACATTCTACACCCCTGCTTAGTAGACTTAATGAAGTATTTTTAAGCTAGTATAAAAATGACTGAAACACAAATTTACATATTTGGCATTACTGACCAATATCTTAGATTTAATTTATGTGTTAAGAACATCAAGATGCATTACAGTGAACATTATAATAAAGTGCATTTTTCTAGTGCAGAGAGGAGACAACTCAAAGAAGCACTGATTTGATCTCATTTCAGAGAAAAATAGAACAGGTCAGATGCATCTAATAAATAAAATTAGTAACAAACTCAGGAATCAGTTTCTTTGCTTCATTGTTCTGGTGCCGAAAACACTAATGTGGATCAAAGGAGATACACAGATGAATGCACCTCTTATTTATTATTTGGAAATGATTGGGTGTGGTTTACATCAATACATTATTTTAAATCTGAAATTGATATGGAATGATCAGAAGTTGCTATGTGTATTGTTTATTTGAAAAATATTTACAGAGCAGCCTCAGAGTTGAGAGTAAATATTTTTGATCACAATAGTAAAGGAACTATTACAGAACAAGTTTTTCAGTAAAATCAGAACATTAATATTTAAGTGCATGAATTAATGCATCTGAACTCATGCAGTAGGAACTAGAAAATATGAAATACTAGAACCATTTTATTTAATTTGATTAAACTGATTTTTTCCTAACGTTGTTGGCATTTTTCCCACACACAGTTAAACAAAACAATGTTGATTGAGGTGTGTGTGAGAGAGAGAGAGAGAGAGAGAGAGAGAGGGAGAGAGAGTTAAAATAATAATAAAAAACCCCGAGCGGAGGCAGTGACTGACGCATGCACGAGTCGATTTCAGCTCTGTCTTGTCAAATGCACCACGTACGTTACGAAAAAGTAACTTTAAATATTCTACCGAAAAAGAGGAGAGCTGAAGAAAACCTAGGGAGTACTGAAGAAACGTGAGCAACAGTGACGCAAGCACCAAGAGATCCGTTACAGTGTGTGTGTGTGTGTGTGTGTGTGTGTGTGTGGATGGGCCGGAGGACTGAGATCCCGGCTGCAGTTTTGTGTGTAGAGAGGGGCGTGCGCTCTATGTGACTGGCCAATCACAGTGTGTAAAGACAGTCAGTTACCCAATAAGGATTTTCCTTCAGCACGATTACAGATACTTACGAGTTTTACTCGTTTTTGTCAAAAATGCTTTATCCGTACCGGATACTCGTCTGAAATGAGTATCCGGCTCATCCCTAGCTGTAACCACCCTGCCCTGCCGCCTCCTCCTTGCTGCCTGCCGGCTGTGATCACAAGCAACAACAGAGTTGTTCCCGCTGCTTCTTTGGGAAACGGCGCAAAAGGGAACAAATAAATAAATAAAACTAGGGATCTTGTAGGCGTGGCGCTGGGATTTCAGCCGTGGCAGGCCGCCACGGCTACGCCTATGTACGGGAAACACTAACTCACCAATATTAGAATCAGCTCCTCTAAATCTGAGACCATGGTCTTGATTCGGAAAAGGGTAGAATGCATTCTCCGAGTCAGGGATGAGGTCCTGCCCCAAGTGGCAGAATTTAAATATCTCGGGGTTTTGTTCACGAGTGAGGGAAAACTGGAGCGTGAGATCAATAGGCGGATTGGTGCTGCATCTGCAGTGACGCGGGCGTTGTACCGGTCTGTCGTGGTGAAGAGAGAGCTGAGTCAGAAGGCAAAGCTCTCGATTTACCGGTCGATCTACGTTCCTACCCTCACCTATGGTCATGAGCTTTGGGTAGTGGCCGAAAGAACGAGATCGCGGATACAAGCGGCCGAAATGAGTTTCCACCGAAGAGTGGCTGGGCTCTCCCTTAGAGATAGGGTGAGAACCTCGGTCATTCGGGAGGGGCTCGGAGTAGACCCGTTGCGCCTCCACATCAAGAGGAGCCAGTTGAGGTGACTCGGGCATCTGGTCAGGATCCCTCCTGGACGCCTCCCTGGTGAGGTTTTCCGGGCACGTCCAACCGGGAGGAGACCCAAAGGTAGACCCAGGACACGGTGGAGGGACTATTTCTCTCCCCTGGCCAGGGAACGCCTTGGGATTCCCCCGGAGGAGCTGGCCCAAGTGCCTGGGGAGAAGGAAGTCTGAGCCTCTCGCCTTAGGCTACTGCCCCCGCGACCCGACTCCGGATAAGCGGATGAAAATGGATGGATGGAGAAATATTAGTGAAAAAGGACAAGTTTGTGAACTGGAAACAGATGATTTATAGTAAACTGGTAAAAATATCACACATTGGGCCTTTAATGCATATTTGTTAAAATTTAAATATTCAGCCAAAAACTGTCAATGTTACACCCCCTTCTGGTAAAAACTCTACTACATTTAAATAAAATCTGCCATCGCAACTGGCTAAGAGGTACCCTATGACGTTAGCTGGTACCATATGATGTCACGATGTCGCTAGGAGCCTGTGTGTGTTTGTTAGTGGCTCCACCCTCTCGGTCTGCCAGGCAATGCCCCCTCGTGACTAATTTTTCAAAGAGGAAATGGGAGTGGAGTTAGACTCTGTTAGGGGTCCCTTGCTCTTTAGAAATAAGTGGTTTAGAAGACAATGAATTAAAATATGTCAAAAAGCAGCCAATATCTATAGAAAAAAATCGAAGATCACCAGAAAGCCTGGTGAAATGCTAATTGTGATACATAAAAAAATAAGCCTGGCTCTTTCTGGGAAGCAACACGAGGCCCAACTCCAGACCTCTGCACCGTGTCCCATTGGGATGCATCATGTTAGATTCTCACCCTCTGAAGTGCCTCCTGCTGCTCTGGAGTGAGAGGCGGTAGGCCAAGCTTGGAGCCTGTGCCCTGTCCATTCTCCATCGTCAGAGCTTCACCTCCCTGCAATTCAGAAATGACTCAATTAACTGATAATAGTGCTGAGAACAAACGTGTTTGTGTCCCGTACTACCACAGCTAAGTTTTCACACGAATAACAAGGTAAACAGAAATCACATCACAAATGATCTTTAATAACACTGATATTGAGGATATGAACCCGGATTTAACCCAAGTAGGCTCAGATGAACTCCTTACTTACGCAACTCTAATCGTTGGGTCCACCAGACTGAGACGGGAAAGCCCCCAAGGGGAAGAGCACTGATGGGGAAGCTTTAACAATTCAACACTTTCTAGGGGGAAATAAAAAATGCCTTCAGACTAATATCGAACACAAAAGGTTGCTTCCATCGCTTTACAGTAAAACGTACACTTGGCCAACCCGTTCTGCTTAGCTTTGGTCAGCTATGGTAGCTGCGATGCGCCCGAATATTAATGACTTTCAGCCATTCGGTGAACAGTAGCGTGCTCATGTGTAAGTCTTTGTTTGAAAATGAGTCTCACAATGTTAAACACTAACACAACAGCCTTAATTATCAAATCCAACAAGTTTGAATACGCTATAAACACCGCAATCTGACTAACAGGGCCTGGTTTTCTATTCATCTCACGGTGCTTGATGCTAACAGATATTAGCTCACGTTAGGCATTCATCACTATGGCGCGTAAAACGAGCTGCGTTCTCCTCAAGTATACTAACAAACTATTAAGTGCAATTACATTCCACAAGACATTTACGTTTTAATTACGCAGCAAACGACATGACTACATGAATACTTATGTGTTTTTTAATCGCGAAGTGTATTTACCGCAGTCTTCGTAACCGCCATCAAGCACACCTTTCACACAAGGCCCACACGCCGCAACGCTCGCGAGACTTCCTGATTTTCAATAAAATATATCGCGAGAACTCACGAACTCGTGGTGGAAAGAAAACGAAGGTCGTTTTTGTTCCAAAAAACTAGATTTGGTTACATTTGTTTTCCAGAGAGATTGTATGTTCTGCTTTAGGGACTCTATTTTTTTTTACTCGATTAACATATAGACCAGGGACATCTAAAGCGCTGCTCTTAAAGAGACAGTGTCTTCATTTCTAGATTACTAAAACATGAACATAACAAGAAAGTAATCTTTTTCTGTAAATTGTACGGAAGCGTATTTGCAATACACTTCAGTGAAAACCTATATGCATGTCGATGGTGAAAACGCATGCATAACCAAATGAAAACCCAAAATTATAGCGTTTTCCCAACTTCTACAGAGGAGCAATTTGAGAACGCTCACCGCGGCTCATTAACCTTAGACCTAAAACATAAATGTAATTTGAAAAATTATATAGATATTGAGCTCTGAGAGTGATTTAAAACCACAAAACATACTCCAAGCTAGCCCAGGGAACTAGACCAAATTATTGCCTTACAAAATTTTAGGAACCTGAGCAAACCCTACAGCTTTCTGGCTGGCCAGTCACAGCTCCCATAGATCACTGTGGTTGGTCCACAGTGGAGGGCCAATCCAAACATCTGAGTTTCTGCATCCGAAAACAGGAAAAAGATTTTTGATTAAGGGCATAATTACTTGTAATTCAAAGAATGTAATTTATTTGTTAAAATGCCCCTGCAACAAACCTATATTGGAAAAACAACAAGGCCGCTCAAACAGAGGATCAGTGAACACAAGAGTTCAATTAGGAGAAAAGACTTGACCTATCCAGTAGCACGCCATTTCAATGACTTTTCACACCCAGTGCCTTCAGATTCCAGGGGATTGAACATATTTCACTACATAGAGGAGGTGATATACATAAAAAACTCTGCCAAAGGGAACTGTTCTGGATTTACACATTGAAAACATTTCAACCACTAGGTTAAAATTAGGACTTTGAGATGTCTGTTTCTTTAAAGATAGCATACACTGCTGTTTTTATACTTCTCTGCCTTGCTGTATGATGGCTTTTTAGCTTGATGTTTGCAATGTACAAAACTCTTAATTCCTGAGCTGATTTAGAATGTTTTTAATATTAAGTGGAACGTTTTCATAGTCTGAGACTACATTTCCCATGATACTTTGCTATATTCAGCCACACAGGCGTTTTAAATCAAATGACCTGTTTAACTAAGGATTGTTTGGTGTGAACCTCCGCAATTCCTGATGAAGGTCTCGGACCCAAAGCTTGACCAATAAACTCCTACATCGCAGATTGAAGTGTGCGGATTCTTATTTTGTTCAAACACAGTAGATAAAAAGTGTGTTAATTGTGAAAAAATGAACACCAAACTCGTACAACATGTATAATAGCATTTTTAATAAAGCATTTTACCAACATTATGTTTAGTCATTACATATGCACAAATAAGCTGAATCATTAATCATGAGCAATGTACTCAAGACCTAATGAAACTCTTTTGAATAACTATTTTGATTATTAAAATAAAATGTGTCCGTGGGTTAAAATTTGAAATTATAAATTTTAGGGTAAGATAAATTTTTGAAATGTAATTTTACATCTATATTTTTGGCCTTGTTCAATATTTCTATATGTACAAAAATAGTATTTTAATAATCCCTTTATAGGTTGATTATCTTACATGGTTGGCTGCGCTGCATATAGCAAACGGTCTGAGGGAGGAATCAGAATTACGGCTTCCCCAAAGACACAGAGAGAAGAAGAAAATGGTTGGCTCAAGTCAGCAGGAGCAACCTCACCACGACCAGAGATCACCATAACAAAAAGCTGTGTGCAGTGAGTTTAATGTGCACTCAAATGTTTTCTATCAAGGCTCTACATGTTCTGCTCTCAACTGCACAAGGCTGCAATTAAACTGTTAAATGTGGCAGGAAATAAACTAATACACCACTCTACAGGCACATTTTGAGGACGGACATTTTACTAAGACTAGGCAAGGCAAGGTGAGACTCAGGGCTGATGCTGTTCCAACCCTGTTTGTTCGTCGCCCTGAACCAAGGAGGAGGAAGGATCCCGCAGTGAGAAGTACAGCAGAACCACTGCATGTTGATCCACTGACCAGTCACCACACATATTGTACTAGAGTAAACTGTGGTATGAATCTTTCAAAAATATTAGACATTTGTATTTATTTTATTTAAAAATGATTCTTTATTCTAACAATGCCATTATAATTTCAGAGAAAGAGGAAAGCAGCAGCAGCAGTGAGGCAAATGAGATGAGGGAAAGTGAGGGGGGCACATGAGATGGTATCAGGAGAGAGGGACATCCCAGGAAGCCATGAGGAGCCGGCGTTAGGGCCAGGAGGAGAAAGGAACAGGCTATGCAACCAGGGAATCCAGCTGGAAAACCTAAGGGAGGGAATAGAAAGTCAAGAAGTTATGAAAAACACAAGAGGCATTAAATGGAGTAAACAGACAATCAAAAAGGCCGTACAGCTCCGTTTATCAGTGGGTTCAACAAGCTACAGGTTTCTTCAGGACATGAGTATCCCTCTGCCTGATGTTAGAACCCTGCAAAGACAAATGCAGCCCATTAACTGGAACCAGGTGTGTTAGGAGAGGTGTGTGACATGCTCAGTTTGAAGGTTAAAAATCTGACAGAAATGGAAAGAGTTTGTGCTTACTGTGGATGAGATGGCAATCACTCCAGGCACGCATCACTCCATCACAGACCCAACTGGGTTTTGCCGCCACCGTTGTTTCTGGTCAGCTCTCCACTCAGCCACTATGAAAACATGAAGATGGACACACAACACAGTTTAACCTTTAATGGTTACATAAGATTTGTTTTAGTTACTCTTTGACATGTATTGATAGTTATATTTTTTCTTGTCACTCCTTACTTAACAAAATTGCAAATGCTAATATTATAAAGCAAATGGAAATGAGCAGTTTTATGGAAAATGTCTAATTTTTAAGTTATTGTGTTCGACTACTGTTCTTGAAATATCGTAGTTCTATTCTTATTACTTGAGTACACAAAATAGAACAACATACGTTCGTAATCCTGAATGTCTCATGCTTCAGCAGTTCGTTGCAGTCAGTGTTATTAACTAAAAAATATTAAATAATTACTTGTCTTCACAATCACATTTTCTTTATTATTGGTCTCTCCATTTGTGCTTCCAATTCTGATGCATGTTCGTGTTGATACAGCAACCAGCAACGTATTGTAATAATATTCCCAAATAAAACTAATAATGTAAAAGTTTTATAACCTATTTCAAACTGTGTGGAATATTATTAAAACGTAGAATCAAACAAACTGAAATAAACCCGTCTACAGCTCGTCAAGCTTGTCTAAACCAGACGTTTTGCTTCAACTATAAACACAAATTTCTGTAATTATTGAATAGGAAGTTGATTAAAATACAGCTAAACACGACGTACTAGCGGCATGAGCTGCCCTGTAAGACATCTTTTTAGTGACGTATGACAAACAGCTCTTCACTGTTTAGAGGAAGTTAGATTTTTATGATGATTTATGACAAAATTCCTTAAAATGAATAACTGAACCTAGTTTATCTTTATGTAGATGGTAAAGTGTAGTGAAACAGCGTTAGTCTCAGTCGGCATAAGCAGCAGGGCCCTGCAGGGAATCGAACCCCGTCTCATTACTGAGAGTTCCGTTACCAGAGCCTTTTGCTTTGGGCGACCGGAGACGGTAAAGCAAAACCTGCATCAACACAGCATTTAATGTTGGAACATAAATTCTGTCTTGAAGCAGGGAAAAAGAAACCGTCAAAATAAAAAATTATTTCTAATTAAATTCATTTTAGTATTTTATAAACGTTTTACAGATTTAGAGCCTCCTTTGACTTTTACGCTTTTCGTTAACTTCTCGTTCTTTTACGATGTTTATCCGTTCTTTAGTCGCGGTCAAACGCATCGTAATTTTGTTCTGCGGTGAATCTTAAAGTTATGTTGAATGTAAATAATCTGAGTCTTTATTGCTTTAGTTTAACAGCACAGTAACTTGTTAAAATATTCAAGTTAATTTGAATCATTTACATGTTTAGACTATATTTTATTAGCCTTTAATATTTTAGTATTTATTGTTTAACTTTTGTAAAGAGCTATTTTTAAACGCGTGCACATTTAAACACTAAAACCTTTGTTTGCTCCGTCTGTGTCAGAGCTCTGCTGTTCAGCTCCTTCCTGGTTCCTGCAGGACCACAAAGCCCAGAGAAGCTCAGTCCAGCAGGACGTGAAGACACAAACAGACACGGAGAGCTCCTCCTAAACCTGGAATCAAACTTTTCTACACATTATTTAGAACAGTTTCTTGTGACAGAACAGTTAGTGAAACAGAAAGGACATGATGAAGATGATGTTATCGTCCTTGTCTTTCATACGGATCAAAGATCACCCCAGCTTATGCTCACGTCACCAAGTAAACGTCCCATTTCTCACTAAGACCTGCTCTATCTGCTCTACCAGATTATCAGAAGCATCACTGTAGTTGTAGTTTTGCCTCCATCTTCCTGCCCTCCTTGGTCTCTTGTTTATCTTCTACCACCTCTCACCATCCATCTCAGGTGGGATCTTGTTTGCTCCGATGGCCTCTTGTGTTCCAGGCTTACATCTTTTAGTGAACGTTAGAATATCATGTACTAATATATATGCATGTGTGTGTGTGTGTGTGTGTGTGTGTGATGCTAAGCCAGACTGCCTGCTCCATCAGATGAAAGGAAATCCTCTCAGGACCCAAATAAAATAGAAGATTTAGCAACCAGACACAGAAGCCCAGGTGAAACGTCCACATCAGCATCTCCAGTTCTACCAGCTCTAAAAACACACTTCTTAAATAATAAAACAATAAACTCAGCCAACGGATGAAGACGTCCTGGTGCCAGACGCTACCTAAGACATCACCAGTTCAGCTGACTTGATAAAACACTTGGTGACTAAAACAAACATCTGGTGACCTGGTAAAAAACAGTCCTGGTGCAACAAGCTACCTGAGACAAACGTTTCCAGTTAACCAGTTCAATAAAGAAAGAAAGAAAGAAATTATCTTCACTGCACTGAAAAAAAAAAGCTATCTCTAGTCTGAGTCCGAGTCGTCCCA